AAAAAAAAAAAAAAAAAAAAAGAAGGCCCTTGAGAAAAACAAAACACAAAAAACAGTCTAACATGATCTTACATTGCTTTATATCAGGGATCATGTAAAATAACCTTTCACTTAAACTTTAATACAGTAATAGATGGTAACTGATTTCATAATTACCCTACTTGACTAAAATATGAGTCTAGCAACAAACAATGATGGTACTGTTGACTTTTGAAAAGAGGACCCCATCAATATATCTTTAATTTTGGTATTTTAAGTATGTCTGAACATTGCTACACAACACTAACTTAGACACGCTAATTGGTTCAAACTAGCTAATCTATGAACTATAAATCCAATCTACGACCAAAACACAAATCTGTGTATGTAAATAAGTATCAAAATATAGCCTCATCTTAATATTCTAACCATGAAAATAATAAAGCCATGTTGGTCAACAATGGTACTATTTGATAGATATAATTCAAATGAATTGATAAATTAGATTTTAATAAATTACTGGTAGTTAATAAAAGTTTTAGCAAAACTCATATACCAGATCCTAGGCATTGAGATTTTTTGGAGGTGAGGAGGGATAAATAATTACTATAGGTACATAATAATTTCCTATGAAACACATGTTGATCTACATACAATGATTCGTCAAAATGTTGTTGAGATGCCTTTACAATTTATTCAGCAGAAGGTGCTGAAGACCAAAAATTGATAAAGGAGAGACAAAATTTAGAGGAGGAAAAATACAATCCTAACAAAAACAAGGCAGCAAAGCTGTCAATTGTACTGACAAGAAGCAGAAAACTAGACAGCAAAGCTTGCAAATATACAGACACCATATAGGAAACAATGTTTCGGCCAATTTTGATGCACTGTTACATAATGCTTTAAAACAGCATAATCACTCTTAGCCTCTTACATTATGAACTACAGGTAGCATGGAGATTGAAAAACTCAGTTTGCTGAAAATACTTATGTGTGAAAAATAAAAATTTCACACACAAATAAAATCAGAATAATTACTGTAAATGTAAACCCATCATGCACATTTTTAAAAGCAACTTCCCTTTTTACAAATAAAAAAGTCACTCACTAAATTTAAAGTAAAACAGTCATGGGGTGAACATAACCAAAATTGTGTAAAAAAACAATAACCAAAATTGTGTAAAAAAACAATAACCAAAATTGTGTAAAAAAACAATAATTACCAGAAATGTAAACCAATCATGCCGATTTTCGAAAGCAAACTGCCTCTTTACCAAACTAAGCCACTCAGTGACTTAAAAGTATAAAACAAAAATATGGTTTGGAAGTTATGGGGTGAATGTCACCAAAATGGTAAAAAATAAATAAATAAATAAATAAATAAATAAATAAATAAATAAATAAATACCATTAATGTAAATCAATCATGCAGATTTTTGACAAAAGCAACCTGCCTCTTTACCAAAAAAAGTCATGCAGAGAATTTAAAGTAAAACAAAAATACGGTTTGGAAGTTATGGGGTGAATGTCACAAAAATTATGCAAAAAAAAAAAAAAAAAAAAAAAAAAAAAAAGAAAACCAAATTGATTACTGTAAACATAAACAGATCATGCCAATATTCTAAGCAACCTGCTTCTTTGCCAAAAAAAGCCACTCAGTAAATCTAAAGTAAAACAAAAATACATTTTGGCAGGTATGGGTCATGTGTCGGACAGTGACAGCAGCAGCAACAGAGACGGTGCGGACAAGCAGACCAATCAGAATATACACAGACACTTACAGTGTCTGTATATAAAAAGGGGAAGAGGGAAGGAGAAATAATGATTCATATTTATCATAAACTTTTGTAGGATCTATAAACATAATTAATTCTGTACTCAACCTTTTAAACTTGTCTTCATGTAATTATGCCATTTTTGTTTAACTACCAATTATTTTGCACTTATTCATGACTTTCATTCTCAACTGCAAAACTGCAATGGCTCATAATAAAATACGGAATACATTTTTACATACTTGTTCTGTGCTGAATAGTAGCATAATCACTGGTTAGGTTTCCTACTTTAGCAACAACCCATATAGTATACAGGTCTCCAGGAAAAAGATTTTTCAGTGTATAAAATGGATGACTGGTGGTTGCAACTGTCACCGATGCATCCTTGGGTAAATTTGTCCTCCAGTAAATCAACTTGTATATAGTTTCATTATGGTCCAAAACACTAGTCCATACTAATTTCATAGATGTTGACGTTGAACTTTCAATGGTGATATTCCTTGGTGTATACATCTTTGCCAGGTCCATTAAGAACACTGAGAGTTAAACTAGTCTATTCAAACAGTCTTTAGCAGATAGAAATATGTTATGCTCTGACTGATACAAAAAGCAAAATGAATGTGCCTCATGCCATATGTCTTATAACATATTCCATCTGCAACTTGTAACAGGTGTTGGGATATCTAGTTTGCCACCTAGATGTTTCTTGTTACAAACACAATCACTGGCAGACTGATAAAATTTCAATTACTTCTCTCTTCAAAAGCTTATTCCATTTCAAGTTGCTCATGTTTCTCATTGATAAAAGCCTGTAGTAATTTCCTATAAATCTGTGAAACTGTGCTTTTTATATGTCTACATCAAAGCTTTTGGACAACAAAGTCTTCTGAACCTGTGAAGTTGGTATCTTAAATGTATTAAATTGCCCAACACTACCCTTAAAAAAATCCATCCATCAGAGATATGAAAAGGGACATCCCTGTGAGGTTTCAAATTCCCTTATTCTTCAATTTGCCTAAGTGATAATCCACCAGATAATCATCAAAACAAGCTATATTTATTTCTTGTTCTCACCCATTTAACAAAATGCACTGCACTTATCTGGAAATTTAATGATAACTCATCTTTACTGCTATTTGTTCTCGCTGTTTTCATTTGAAAATGCAGTTCATGATAATGACCATAACACCAATAGATTTTAAAATATCATAAACAGGAAAAAAATCACACCTGTGACAGGTTTTGACTTGGGTGTGGTCCAGGAAGACTGGTGAGAACAGTTTTACTGTAAACGATAGTTTATAACTACATTTTTATTTTGTGATAAAACAACCTAGAAATGCATTTATATGTTAGTACAGCATAATTACAGATCTGCAGCATTAAATAGGAATTATTTTCATACTGCGTTTCATTCCAAAAGGGAAGTATAAATGTATATTAAATGTGTGAACTTCAAATTATAGGTTGTACAGCTGTTGAGAGGCTCCTCCTGGCACAAAGCTGTAAGTGTTATAATTGAACTCTCACATTAAAGCACAGACTTGAGCCTCCGACTTAATGAGGAAGATATGCACCAGGTATTAATACTTTTCACTTTGTGCTTTATATTTTGATTTACATTAAATAAATTATAATTTCATGTAATATATATGTAAATGTTGCTTAGTATTATACATTCTCATTCATCTACAAATGAGAAGAAATTTACAGGCATCTCAATAGATGCTGTGTAGTTGCAACATCCATTATTTCTTTGGATCTAGGATATTTTAAACATCAAATTTTATCATTGCAGTTGAAGGAGGCACATATAAAGACTGCCACATGTTAACTACGAGCAAGACAACCCAAGGAAAAGAACTCCATCAACAGTGTATGGATGTATGCCACATTGCCAGCAATGGTCTTTCTACCTGCTCTGGAGTTATGTTAGTAGTTTTTATCCTTAAATTTGCTCTAGGACACACCTAAGGATCTTAGTTTTATTTATTTATTTTTTTTTGTCTGTAATTTACTTGATCAGGGTAGGCATCCTTTGCAGGATTATCTTTGTCATGTATAGATAAGATTTGAAAGATTACAAAAATATTTGGTAAAGAAGCATAAAAGCAAACAAAATACTGTTCAATTTGAAAAAGAAATTAAAATGTCAAGTTGTAATTATGATACTCCAATTATTTTGCAGATTCATTTTGTTTGATATCTATCATCTATAAATATCATTATCAACACAAGGTAACATATCTTAAATGATAATATTTGGCAAAATATTAAACGTAAACTCACTTAAATTCTGATTTTCCATTTTGCCGCCATAAAATCTTCCTCCACCCACAACTTGCATCATGGCCTTCATTTTAACCTTCACCTTGCTATTGGCAGTTTACAGTGTACCTATAGGGTTATTTTAACTAGTACTACTAGCAATGCAACAAGGCCAGAAGCTCGTCAGAAAAGTACTGCCACCCAAATACACCAAATAACCAAAATTTAATGTCAGATGAGAAAATAAAGTGGACAACAACCTATATTATGAGAGAGAAGATATTTCTGCATTCAGTTTATGAGTTTAAGCTGTTAATTAAGAAGTATAGATGCTCTTTGAGGAACACCTTAAGGAAACGGATATACGGTAAAGTGCCATGAATTTCAAACGGCTCTTGAATTTCGAACGATCTTAAAATCGGCTGTCAGGAGTTTTTTCTGGACCATGAATTTCGGCCAGTAAGCAATTTTGCGCGATCTTGATTTCGTGAATTTCGTACTCCTTAAAATCGACCACCGGGCTATTTTCACTCGCATAAAGATCTAATAGTCGGCAATGTTGCCCTAGCGTACCTTTACCTGAGTACTACGTGTGCGGCCCAAGGTACAAGATAACGATCGGTACAGTTAGTTTAGGACGCTAAACAACATCGTCATCACCATTCATTCAGATAAGAGGAGAATCAATTGAGTTGTACTGTCGGGCTGTTGTTTCTTTACCGCAGTACTCGGTGTGAGATAGCGATCGGTAGTTTTGCTCAGGCGCACAACAGCATTGTAAACAGTAGAGACTTCAGTAACTGAACAAAAGAAGCAATATTAAGAGCTGCAATAAAGATTACCATTGTTGCTTTCTTGTATCGCTCAGATCGTTCATGATCTCCCGCTGACGATCTTCCACTAATGAAGTCCCTTGAAATGTACAAATGAAATGAAAAATATTTTTTAAAATTATAAATTTCAATGGAGAGGGAGGGTTAAAAACGATCTTCTGCTGACGCTCTTTCGCAAACGAACTCCCTTGAATGAATATGAAAATTGCCATCTCGTCTCGCTTAGATCGAGAACGATCTCCGGTTGACGATCTTCCGCAAACGAAAGCCACTGAACGAATATGAGCTTTCTCGTTTCGCTCGGATTGCGAACGATCTCCCGGTGATGATACGAAAATTGCATTCTCGTCTCGCCCTTTGGCTTACGAAGTCTTTTTAACAAATATGAAAATTGCCTCCTTGTCTCTCTCGGATTGCGAATGATCTCTCGCTGATAATTTGAAAATTGCCTTTTTGTCAATCAGCTTTGTCAGTTGCCGTGTGTGTATGAAGGTCCGGAAGGTGTCCCCTTGCACAAATTGGCAGTTTGTTTGCTTAGAGTGTTTTGTACCGCATGAAGGTCACTCTTGTCACTGCTGCATACGGCGTGGAATGTGTATCTTTAAGTTAACAGAAACATTTTATTGTGTTTTGTAAGCTTTAGGAAGAAGTTTCGTTGTGACTGAATATTAGCGTACACTACAAAGTAGTACCATTCATCTGTGGCGCATAATAAAAGCTGGGTACGTCAAATTACTCTAAGAAAATTTCTTACAACGTCCATGGCTGTCCCGACAAGCCAAGATTACATTTTTCAAAAAAAAAAAAGTCGTAAGCCGTCTAGCTATCTTTGAAAATATAGGCCGTCCGGTGAGGTCAGCGGTCGTCCAAATGACAGCTGGACGGTTCGCTGGGAAAAGCCTTGCTCATTACGGTATATTTATTTAACTAGGGGCTTACTGACACAAAATTTGGGCACTTATATAGATTGTGCCTGCTTGTATCGATCCAAATTCTGAATAACGGTGCGGTACTGCTGTTTGATGTGGTTTGCTGTACTTATCCCGAGTTCTCAAAAAATAATCTGAAAAACAGATTGCTCAGATTGTTGTACTATTATGACACCTTCTTGTTATCCACTTCGTGATATCCACTTCATGGTCGGCTTCTCTAGGTTGAACTTATATATGACATCACCCAGCTTACATGCGAGTGCATGCCTCCCAAAATGAACCAATTATATTAAAGGTTTAAGTTCTAATACATCTTAGTTTAATTGTTTGTACATTTTGTAAAAATTGCCCATGTCACCCCGTTAGTTTGGAGGGTTAAGCTGGATCAAGTCCGTGTCAAAATTCTTTGAAGATTTGCAGGAAAAATCAATCTTCATTTGTTTCTCTGGCTCCTTGTTTAGCCCGATGATCAGATTTATCTAGTGCCCCCAGGTTTGCTGGGGCAGCTCTTTGAAAATAACGCACAGGTAGATTTTTACCCTGTAAAATTCCCTACAGTGAAGGCGACATATGCGTAGAAGACACCGACCCGTGCACGGCGAGATGAGGACGCACTCGCGCGTAAAGCTCCACCCGACTTCAACAGTAATCGCAGACAAAGGCTACTTGTACGTGCGACATAGACACCGATCGGCTGACGTCTTGGTTTCAGTGCACGGAAAGGAGCAGCGGTAACACTAAGCATCCACAGTAAAACTTATTTGGCCATGGTAGACTTTAATCGCCTGCCGTCTCTTCCTCCGTCAACTCCCGTTGTGAGCGCCAGGATCGTTTTCGAAAGACGACACTACTTTCTTGCTGCCAGAATCGCTTTTGAAAAACGACACTACAAATAACGATGCTGTTTTGCGTCCCTAGCCAACAGTACTGATTGTTATCTAGCACCTTGGGCCATACACAGTGATCGGGTGAAAGTACGTGTATCCCTTTGGTCGCAATTACCGACACTCACACATCATACATTATGGTAACTCTAAATAGATCGTCGGGAGAAGATAACAGAAGGCCTAGCGCTGAACAGACAACTTCCGGTCAAAATTGACAGAATTCCATGAAATTTGAACGTTTGGAAGTTCTGAGCACCTCCATTTCATGAATTTCGGCCAAAATGATCTTTTCCCAAATTTAATTATTTTCTACTGATCGAAATTCATGGCACATTACCGTATAGCTTAAGACTACCTCAAAAGTGCTATGCAGATTAACTTATAGTAGTAATTTTGAAGCTCTAATACTGCGAATACTGCCTACACCAGCAAAACAAATATATGCAACACAAAAGATATTTAGACTTCTACTTGTTTAAAAAAAAGCCTAGGGCTTTTTTCAATGTAAAAAACAATAAATCCTCAAACCCAGACAGTTTTCAAAACCCAAACAAGCATATCACTTTAAAAAAGAGTTTTTACTTTACAGAAAGCTTTTGTCAGATGACACACAACTATGTGCCAACCATAGATCTACACACTTACTTGTTGTAAAATTCCCTGTTGTAGAATCAGGACTTTCAACATCATCTGTGACAGCAAATATGGACACTGTGTAGGTAACACCAGACTCAAGGCCGGTGAAAACATACTCACTGCCATTGGTGAATTTAGTTTGAAGGGTTCTGTTTAAAGCAGGGGGTAATGCTCTGTATTCAATCTTGTATTGTGTCAGATAGGTTTCTGCCTTGACCCAGCCCAGAGTGAGACTGTTTTCACTGTTTTCAATTTCCTTAAAGTTTTTTGGTGGTTTAGGATCTGTAAAGAAAAGAGAGTAATAAATGCAACCCAAAACACAACAAAATGGTGACCAGGTAATTGTAATAAATAAAAAAGATATTCAAACTCTTAATAAATACTTTACAAAAAGATAAGTAAATAGTTTAATTCAACTGATAAAAAATTGAAAATTAAAATAACTAAGAACCACCTATAAAAACACTGTTAAACTGAATAAATGATTTTTTTGATATTGTAGCTTTTGCAGGGATGTGCATAGGCACTATGGGATTTTAGAGCACATGGGGGGTTGAGCTGTCTCTGGGGGGTGAGCAATGATTCTAATTATTCGCACTGCTTGATACTTGGGGGATTGGTAGATCTATCATCAGGTATGTGCATGGGCGCTTTAGAATTTTAATGGACCTGGGGGTGGGCCTGTCCCTAGGGGTGGTTGATTGTTTTTTTTTTTTATTAAGTATTTTTCATCGATATGCAATGAAAACATTATTTCCCATGCTGCTATTTTGTAGTTTATTTTCAATAGTTATATACATACAACCCAGACAGTGTCATAGATACCTAGGGGGTTCTGAGGGTGAACTTCTCTTTAAGAGGAAGTGAGATGGGACATGAGATGGCTACCAATCGACAATATCTAGTCATCATTATAAAGCTATCAAATAGATACCTTTGTGACCAATTACAACTAATAGATATGTTTTTTTACGAATGCCATGAAAAAATTGTTTGTGAAGATTTTCAAAATAAACCTTTTTTATCAAACAAAGCTCAATATTAAATTTAAAATAAAACAAAATTAATGTTTGGCAAATTTGACGGGTAGTTTTAGGGGGGACAACAGGTATGTTGAACAGCAACGGTAACAGTGACTGCATGTACAGGAACTGAACTGATTATAAAAAGATATACACAGTCTCTGTATATAGAAATTCATGCAAGATGTACTTTTTACTAATAAAATTATTTTCTACTATCCATTTGCCTTACACAATACTGAAAAATTGCCCTAAAATGGACCCAGAGTAATGGTCCACAATTAATACAAAGATAAACAACTTACATGTATAGGCAGTGGTGTTTTTGCTCTCACTCCTGTATTTGCCCACAGCGATAACTTGAATGTCATATTTCTCTCCAGGATAAAGCTCATCTATCACTGCTGAATTAACCGTGACATTTCTTTCTTCTGGTGTAGCATTAATATCCCTTAAAACTGGTCTATATCTTATTCTAAATTGACTTTGATGACTGGGCAATGTATTCACAATTCCAATTTTCCAGGTGATACTTATATTTGTATAACCAGCTGTTTCTGCTACAAGATTGGAAACAGGCACAGGATCTGAAAATTTGTGTTAAGTCAGGCTTATATTTAGTAATGTAAATAGTTGCTTTACATTTCAGTCCAATTTTGTCAAGATAAAGCATCTTTCTATTTTAGTTTCTTCTTTTTCAAATCTTCTTTAAACACAATGTAATATACCTCTGAAGTATATATGATCATATTTTTTATGGGAACTATCATTCAAATATGTTGGTGATGCATTTTTGCACATTCTAAATAGTACCCATTCAACAGCAATAACATCATTAAATATAAAAAAACTAACTAATCTGCTGTATGAAATAATCAATGCAAAAAAATGCTATACAATAGTTGTGACGTTGAGCACATTCTGTGTTCTGTACTTACATGTGCTTTCACCTATTGTCACATCTTCACTATATGATAAAGAGCTGACAGCTTGGACTGTGATGTTATAAGCGAAGCCTGGCTTTAAATTCCTGAGAACATAAGCCTTTGGTCCTGATGCAGTGCTTTCATTATATTTTTTCTGTTTATCATTGTATTGAATCTGTTGGGACAGAATAACTTAAATCAGTTGACTGCAAAATAGTTCCAATGTTTCAATGTAATGACCACTCTCGGAAAGTTGAAGTAACTCATTAATTAGCTATCATACTAAAACTGTAACTTCTTAAAAAAATAAAAGGTTGAATTGTAAAATGAAGTTACTATATTATATTTATACCTCTTATATAGAAATCCAATGATTAAAACATACCAGAAAGTGATCCTGAGTACTATTTAGGCTAACAGTCCAGTTTAATTGTATATTTGATGTGTCAATTGCCTTTGCCATTAGACTGCTGACTGCCAGGGGATCTGAAATTGAGACAAACGTAGGTATATTACACACAGAAGTCAAAACTGTCAAATATTTTTGTATGCTTTATGATAGATAATTTTTATTTAAAAAATATAGATATTTTGATATTAATATATATGGAATTATCAAAGTATTCAAAGTATTAAAAAAGTAAAGCATAAATGTTAAATATTCTGAAAATCTTTTCTTCTTCATTCTACTACAATCTGTCGTATTAAATTTTCTATAGATTTAGCAAAAGGGGACCATCCATCACAGATCCATTTCTCAGTCTACTTACTTGTAGTATATTCTCTATATCTGGCCTCACTGGCACTACTGCCACTAGCGGTCCATATAGAAATGTTATACATACGGCCTGGGTATAAACCAGTAAATGTATGCTGTAATTCACTACTATTCCTAAAAATAAAACCACATTTTCAAAAAAAAAAACATGCTGTAATTTTTTCACGATTTAAAAGCAAGGCAATATTTAGCAGAGTACATGATTAGCACATCCAATAATTAAAAATTAACAAGCTTATGACAGATAATTATTTTATAGATAAAACTGATGAACACAGAACAGACAAGTTCAGAAGAACAATAATTGTATTATTTGTTTTAAAACTTTGCCATTTCTTTGCCTTTGCCATTCTATTTTCAGCTTGATGTTCCATGCTGTATATATTATTAGAGAATATTGCATCAGTTTCTGCTGTCCAAGTTTGCCAAGTATTTATCTCATTTCTTGTGATTATATGTTAAATCTGCTGTGGTAATGACACAAAAATTTATTTGATTGATGGGATAGTAGTTCTGATCCAGGCAGACATTGATTACAGTAGTGAACCACAAATTTCTGACAATTATGACCAGGATGTTGACCATGTAAGAAGCACTGATTCTGAAAACAGCATGCCAGTTTGTGTACATACTGTTTATAAATACAGAAAAGTATCTGGCGCTTAGAGGTTTAACCCCTTGAGGATTGCACCACAGTTCATAGTACATCACTTTTAAAAACTCCAATTTACCTTGAAACATTAATAGGAAGGTCAGCATTGCCATCATTGGGAAGTATATGCAACTGATATCTATCAAAAGTTGTATTCGATACTTCATTCCATCCCACAGTAATGGATGTAGTAGTGGTATTTTTCACATCAAGGGCAGCCAGTGAACTAGGAACTAGATATACATAATAAACATTATAAACAAATATTCATGTTGATTTTAACATGGATTATAAAGCAATGTTTGAGATTTCTGTATTTGTTAATTTCTGTTATTTTCAAATAATGATTAATTATCTTAAATTAATCATCTTAAATTCAACACTATTTCTATAGCAAAAATTTTAAAGAAGAGAACTTTTGGATGAAATTCACAAATCTTTTACAGAAACAGCACAAAGTAATTGCAAGGTGACACTGGTGGAAAGAGAAAGGTGAATATTCCTAATCCATCCAAGTATGAATGCACAAAAGAACCTTTGTAAAATAAAATTCATTTTAATAAAAGCATAGACTTTTAAAAACTTTTAAATTTCTGCAAAAACAACAACAACTAAAAGCAGTATCAGAGTGAAGCATAAGCTGGAAATATGAATAATACATCAGAACAGTTCAAATGAAGTGAAATGGCATGGTTAAGTGACAATAATCTGCTGGCCTAGGTAGGTTGTCATTTATAAAATTAGTAAAAAGGTAAAATAATGTATAGAGCCTGAAAAAGAGGAGAGAGATTATTCAAGTGAAAACCACTAGGAAGGCGAGAGTAAAGATACAGAAATACAGTATGTTAGACTGAATGTGCAGTTTTCATACAAAAGATGTATGCTGTACTATGTTTGGTGTTCAATGCCTCATCCTTTTTCAATATAAAAGTTGCTTTAATCTTGGTCTACTAATAATGTATTATTTATTATGAGAGATGACTTTTTGGTAATTCAAATACCATAAAGCAGCAAATTTTAAACAGTTTACAAACAGTGTTAACTGGCAAAGAGCCATGCTTTATCACAAAACAGACCATAGTTTCAATTTGATCAATGCTTTGATGTTTGTGGGATTTTATTTTATAAATTTCTCTCTAGAAACAATGAACATCAAAGTACATCATTTCCAAAATGATAAACATACAAGTTGTTACTGTTATTGTTTTGTTGTCTCCAAATACACCATCACTGGCAAAACGCAATGTTACAACATATTGCTGTCCAGTTGACAGGTTTTCGAATTTGTACTTCCTTTCAGTAAATGCACTTTGGTTTGAAGTTATATTGACAATCCTGGTTAATGATGATCCAGAAATGGTCAAAGAAAGAAAATCCTTGGTAACATTTTCTGGATATTCCCAAGTGACCTCAACAAATGTTGTACCAATGCCATTAGGTGTTGTACTAAAAAATTCTGGAGCCAAAGGAGCTGTAATTAACAATGAATAAAAAATACAGTCATAGACTTAGTATACATTTCTTGTTACTAATATATCATAAAGAAAATAAGATGCATTTTTTCAAGATTAAATTGTGGAAATTATATAATTCCATATAATTCCAGTTTTTAATTGTTAAGATCAAAATCCAAATCAAAAATATGATACTGGTCTTGTGTAGTCTTTATTTCTGAAAATAAATATATATCATTAAACAATGACTTGTATCCAGACACCATAAACCATGGAAATGAGAGCCTTCATCAAACAGTAGCTCAATTTTCACTACCTGGAAGAATAAAGGAATACAAAAGTAAGAAAAGGCATGTTTTTACTTAGCTACTACATACTCACAAGAAACAAGCTTCTCATATGATAAAAAAAATTACTTACGTGTAGTTTCTGTGATAGTCACTGGGTCACTTTGCACACCATTACTCTGTGTGGTGACTGAAATATTGTATGTTTCTCCAGAAATTAGGTTAGTGAACTTCTTTAAAGTTGTCCCATTGGAAACATTTTCAGATGCTAAAGTTTGGCCATCTTTTGAAAGAGAGAGAACTTCACGATCACTCTCTGTGCCACTTCCTCTTGACCATTCAACAGTTATTGTTGATGTTGTCTTTGCAGTGACCCTAAGGTAACTGGGACGGTTGGGTTCTGAATAACAATAACTTGAATAGATTAGAATTATCATAAATTTGTTTATAAGTCCTTTTCCTATTTACCATCCATAAAATTATCCATAAGAAAGCTGATGCAAGTCAAATTTGTTGAATAAAATTTCTGACAATAAAGATTTCCTGAATATTACTACATGTATGAAAGTACATCTGTGATAGTATGAAACTCATAACTGTTGTTTGATGCCTGTTTTATCTTAAGTGTTGCACCATAAATGGTTTTACTTACTTGTAGTAAAGTTTACAGAGGAAGATGTACTTAGAGCCCCTTTGTATGCAGACCTCACTTCCACTGTATAAGAACGACCAGGGTATAATCCATCAAAAGAATTTGATAAACTGGTTAAATCCGTTATGTTCTGTGATTCAATTTCAATCCCATTAGATTTGTGCAATAATCTTATCCTGTATGCATCAACCTCTCCACTGCTTGGTGCACGCCAGGTGAAAGTGCCTGACACATTTGTTCTGGTGTTGGGGGATAGTTCCAGCCCCTCAGGAGCCCCAGGTTCTGGAAATGTAAATTTGTCACAGTCCTATTCAACAATGAAAAGGTTATGGAGAAAACTAAAGAAAAGAATCCTTGACTGTGAGAAAAATATTCATGGAACAAAAAATTAGCTACATTAAACACAATATGTAATTAATAATATTATTCTGCATTTTCACCCATTTTACTTGAGACATATAGAAAGGTATTTGTCTAAGGGAGCATTCAAATAGACACATCATACTATTTGGGTCAGTCCAACTCTGCAGGTTCTCTTGGTAAGTGCAATTGGCTTAACTGAATGGCATATGCCTCTAAGAGCAGATAGGTTGTAATTAACTACCGTGTGCGCTCTGTTTAATTACATCCTGGGGTTTAAGATGCAGCAACAACTTAGAGCAAAATAAACTATTTGGCACTTTTTCAAAACTCAATACACCATTAAAGGGATAACAACACATTGTATGAGATCCATAATCCACAATAAATACATTGTAAACAACCCATAAAATATATTAAATTCCATTTTACCACCAAAATGGCAGTTATCACATTTATGCTGGAATCTGTGCTTGCCATCTTAAAAGATTATAACAAACACAAAACTTTTTAGAAAAAAAAAACTGGGACTAACTTTGAATGTTGGAATAGTTTCATTAACCATTGGTGACTAAATTGTTGTTAACCCCTGGAAAATCCATTTTTGTCCCAAAATGAACAGTTTTTATCTTTTAAACATCTTGTGTCAAAATGATTTTTCTAATAAAGTAATAACAAGTCAGAAAAACCACAAATGATGTGTTTTATAATTCTGCTGGTAAAACAACACAAAAAGCTTACTTGTCCATGCATTCAATGTGACTTCATCACTGAACCTATTGCCACTATAAGCCTTCAATGTGATCACATAACTTGTGCCAACATTGAGACCAGTAAATTCCTTTGATGTAGAAGATACATTAATATCTAAACTAGAAGAATTAATTCTAATGATGTATCCATCACTTATTCCATCTCCCTTCCCCCAACTGACTGTGATGGAACTTTCAGTTGAGTTGAATGATGGATTAGTGGGTGTGTCTGGCCCTGAAAATAGAGGAATAATACTTATTAAAATAGACTTTCTACCACTAATAAATGCTAACCATCACAGATTTGAAGTGATGTCATTGCCATTTCATCAAATTAATACATAACAGCTGTATTTCATGGAAAGCCAGACATGTTACATTTCACTTAATATACATTGGATAATTGGGAAATCTCTTCAAGCCTTTTCTCTATTTCATATTTTAGGGCGCATTCCCATAGATTTTAGATCGATCTATCCCTGTGGGGAGTATCACTAGATAACTGTCACATAATCCGGCTAAATTGTCCGTCCCGCCTACTACAAGCTGCACGGGGGTAATTAACTTTCGTGCCCGCTCGGCTGACAGCCATTTAGCGTGAACCCCCAGGGAGTTAGGTCGATCTAGTTGGATCAATCTAATCTCTGGGAATGGGGTCTTATACATCTTCTAGGGGCAAATTTATTACTTTTCCTCTGCATTTTTTGGCTGACTGGTTAGATCAAATATTGGTTACAAGCTGTAATTCGAAGTGAGGAGGACACCACATCCTGCACTTAAACATTTAATAGCTTTTATGTAAAACATTTACTTGGATTGGATAACTGACAATTTATATGAACTACAAGCAAATCTCTTGCTCAGATGCCTACATGAATGGTTCTACTTTCTCTTTAAACAAATTAACCACCAAGTAGGTTTGTTAAATAGATTGTGCAATGTATCTTGCTATAAAATTTATGCTCAATCTTTATTGCTTACTTGTGTTGTCAACTGCAGTGACAGGATCACTCTGTAGAGTTTCTAGTTGTGCAGCTACTGTAGCTCTATATTGTACACCAGGGGTAAGCTCAGTAAAACTGGCATCCCTTGTGCTTACATTTTTGTTTCTGAAACATTATACCATGGTAATTACAAGTTTTCTGTTACCTGGATAATATTAAATCATTATAATTCTTTAAAACATTGCATGAATTATGATTGAATGTGCTGAAACAAACAAATGCAAGGAACTTTCAAAGTTGTTTGTAAAGTTACTCAATATTTGTATATTACATGAAATAAGTTCCTGGATTTTAACAAAGTTCATTCACACATTTGTAAAAGATATATTTGTCAAAATGCTTACTGTGAAAAATTATAAGAAGAATTCAGTGATTCCAGTTGTATATTATATCTTGTGAAATGTCCTGTTGCTGGGGCATCTGCTGGGGCATCCCAGGTAACATCTAACTGCTTTGTACCAACATTGCTAAATGATAGGTTTCGTGGAGGCCCAGGTTCTGTAAATTAAACAATAAGAACCTATATATTAATAATAATGTTGATCATACTTTCTTGAGAAATTTTTTTTCAAAATTTGTATGTATGGTTTACAAAGTAGAATCTATCTTCTCAGTAACTTCAATCAAATTCTATAAACTGTCATTCAGCAAACAAATAACATATAGTAAAACTTGAAAGCTTATAGAAACAATAATCTGGCACATACAATAAGTGCCTAAAACTTTTAATCAACTGACCCAAAGTAGAAATATAATTTCTTAGCCACAAAACTTTCTTAATATATAATTTTTCAAATGTCAACAAAAATATTCTACAAACTTCATACTTCTCAGCATAAGAATGGAGACATTTTTATATGTGTATAACTTTTCAAATGTCAACAAAAACATTTTAAATCTTCACGTTTCTCAGCATAAGAATGGAGACATTTTAATCACAATTTATAAAAAACTTCTTTGATATAGGTACAGGGTTTGTAAAGAAAAATCTGATAAATGTCATATCTAACAAAATGAAAAAATAAATTAATTACAATATGATATTATTTCTTACCAAGTCTTTACGACACTGGTCCATAAAAAATAGCCATATAACATGTGCGTGCTTTGTTACATATAAGCAGAAAATAAGAAAAAATACTTACCAGTTGTCTGATTTACCATAGCAGGCTCACTTAATATATAAGAAGCATTGCCTACATAAGTATAAGCATTTATGGTGTACAAATGACCTGCTGGGTTGCTAGCTGTAACATTAAAATTACAAGTCTCTGCAATGGCGGCACCAGGGTCACAAACGGCTGTTATTTCATTTGAGGAACTGTTAAACTGCCACTTGATGACATACTGTGTCTGTGGTAAGATAGAATTATGGAAATGATTCATATGTGTTTTAAGACTTTGTTGTGATCAAAAAAAGTTGGGCTGATACTTTAATGAACAATTTTAAATTTCGGACAAAAAAAATGAATATAAAGTCCACTGCAACAGTACTCATAAAAAATTTTTATAAATTACTTTGAGTATCATTTTATTTCGAGGATGTCAAAACATAACCTTTAAATATTAACTGTATTTTCAGTAACCATTGGGCATTACTATTTGCATAAACATATACTTGTACACCCAAAATGATTTTTTTTCATACTTTCCCCCTCTGTACCTGTGTTGTGTCTGGTTGATAACCAATGACCACTTGCAGCCGATGTGTGCCTAGTGCTTTAGAGGAGCCAATCACTGGTGATAAGGGAGCTACATAGAAAATCAAGTAAGCAAAGCCAAATATGATATCATTTCATTGCAGATACCTTGATTGGTAGAATGGTAATAATAGTGCAGTTTATGGGAGGTGGAATGGGGACAGATAGCATTTCATGTTGTACATATATCTACAAGAGGATGAGTAATAAATATCTACAAATATACCTTTTACTAAACTTACTGCAGCTTATATTGTACACCATTTCATGCAGCCACTGTTACAAGTCATTCTAAAATTACTCATGAAAGGTGTTAGGTAAAAGATATGATAGGTACACAATGCAAAGCAACTCACTAATATACACAATGCTGTCAAAGTGGCAACCACTCTGCATTCAAAAAAAAAAAAAATGTGTGTCGCAGAAATATGTCTTTAATAAAGCTTCATGGCATAAGCTTTTCCACCTCTATATACATTACCTGTATAAGCTGTTGTATTTGCTAGTAAAGTCATGTTAGCATTAGACACTTCAAACACCTCTATCTTGTACTCTGTTCCAGAACGCAGGTTCTGAAGTATGACTTCTAGTTTCTTCAATGAAACATCCTGAGGAGATTTTGTGATATTTTTGTCTGTACTAGGATTTTCTCCATACTTAATGATATAGCTGTAATTGCTAGCAGTAGTGTTTCTTTGGATGTCAATAGAGATGTTCAAACTCTCTGTTTGGCGCCTGGTGATTGTGATTGCAGCATAACTGCTGGCAGTCAAAATTACCTACAAATAAGAAAATGCTTATAAGAAAAATAAGAGTATAATATAACTGCAAACTCTAACAAAATGAATGCCCCAATAACTATCTCTAATTAAAATTAATCATTTTCAAAGTTCAAGCTCCACTTAATGAGCATGGCCATCTGCATTCAGTTCACCTAGAAATAGAGCTTTTTTCTTCCATTAGATAAATGTGTTATTTTTTTAATTTACTCATTTTATTCATAATGAGCAAGCTATGCAGACAAGAGTTATATACCATATTACTTAATGTGATTAATACCTCCCACCCACCCACCTGGTAGCTCTTTGTTGAATCACCTTGTCAGATGCAAACAACTAGACAACAAAGTTAACAGTAAAAAGTAACTAGAGGATCAGAGAGGCGATACCGCCTCCAAATATTGTACCACCAGCTGGAGCAAACGCATTCGTATAGACCCCCACATACACAAAATAAGGGACACAGCCACCAGTTTTGTGCTTGACAAGCTGTAAAAATGCAATCAACAAGAATTTTTAAACTATTGCAAAAATATATATATGGTACAATCAAATTTAAGTTCTTCGTAAGGTAGGTCAAGGGTCAATTTCAAGGTCACAGTAAATTGCCAGTATATGACTTCCTATTCAAGTTCAAGAGTAACTATGGACCTATCTCTGTCAAGTTTGAAGTTAAAAGAGAAAGAAAT